CAAGCGGACCCCCGCAGTGCTCCTCACTCTTATCTGCGCCCCTGGAACAATGTCGTTCCCCCCTTCCCTGGAGGCAGCAGCAGCGCGCCGGTTCCCCCCTTCCCTGGAAGCAGGCCGGCGGACCCCCGCAGCGCTCCCCACTCCTATCCGCGCCCCTGGGACAGCGTCGTTGAGACAGGAGATGCGACCCGAAGCTCGCCCCCTAGTGGAGACAGCGCCGCGGCGGCAATTGCGGGCGCTGCAGAGAGTACGCCCGCGCTCGGAGACCCCCCTCACAGTTCAGACGTTCAGGAAGTTGCATCCGAAAGTGCGACTGTCAGCTGCAGCAGCCCTCTGGGGGCGCCACAGACCGAACATGGGGTTCACGGACCAGCCTTACAGATGCAGGACATGGAAGCCATCCGCCGGCTCGTCGGGAGAAACCCCTTCGCGCCTATTCGCCCTCCTTCCCCTGCCAGTGAATCCGCCCGAATGGACGGCGAACCGCAGGCGCTCCCTCCAGACGCCCAGGACACGCCTGACAAAGAAGTTTGCGCTCTGGCAATGGAAGCGGCGTCGCCGTGCGCGCACGCCCCCGGCGCGACCGGCGGCGCCCCCGCGTCCGGCGAGAGCCTCGCGGCGACTGGTGGGGGCGCGCCCGTGAGCGACGGCGGGCATAGGCCCGAAGGCGAACGCCAGCGAAAGGGGCCTCTCCACACACACACACACACACACCTCAGGGCAACGTCCGCCCGAGCTGCCGGAGGCGAACCGGCTCTTGCCTGGCGGCCAACTGCGCGGCCCGCGCCAACCCCCAGGGCCCCGCCAGGCGTGCGACCGGAACTGTCGCAAGCAGATTTCGAGCCCTCTGTCCAGGACAGCGGGGCTGGTTCGCCGGAGACTTGCGACCAGGGCGCGCGGCAGCGCAGTCAGCAGGGCCAGGGGCGGGCGCAACCGAGTAGAGAACCAGGGCAACTTGCGGAGCACACGCTGGAAGAGCCCGCTGAACAGGAGCAGGTCGCCGCACACGGCGCTCCCCTGGCTGCCACTTCTAATCCTGGTCCCTCCCTCTCTGGCAATGGCGGGAGCTCGAGCGCCGATGGGCGACGGTGGCGCGCCCGGAACGCGCCCCCAGCGCGTCTGCCTGGCAGCGGGTGGACGCCCCGCCTGGCTTCGGCGACAGGCGACTCTCCAGTCTCCCCGCCGCCTGCGGGTCGAAACCTGGCCCCCAGCGACGTCGGCCGCGCTGGCGGGTCTGGCAGAAGGCGGACAACAGGCGGAGGGCGCGCCAGCAGCAACGGCAGCAGAAGCAGCAGCAGCAGCATCTGCAGCAGCAGCAGCAGCAGCAGCAGCAGCAGCAGCAGCAGTCGCCGAGCCAAGGACCAGCCGCTGATCCCCCCGCCTTTGGTAACGGGGCCCGCCGCGCGCCAATGGCCAGAGCCCTTAGACCCCGACACGGGGCAGCAGCTGCACAAAGCAAAGATCGGCAACATCCAGTGGGGCCTCCCCGGGGAGACGCCCGGCGAGGCGATAAGGCGGCTTCAAGTCACCCTGGGGGCAATGTTCACAGGCACCCGGCGCGCGTTCGCCAAGCAGCATGCCTCGCCTGGCAGCAAAGGCGCGCTCGACCCGCCACGGCGCGACCCGCAAATTTGCCTTCACTTCCTGTGCTCCTTCCGCAGCCACAAGTGCGACGCACGGGCCGTGAGCGACGCGGTGGACCTCGGCGTCGACTGGGCTCAGCTGCGGCATCGGCACCTGGGTGGAAGCGACGGCGCGGGCAGGGGTCGCCAGGCGGCGAACGGCCACGCGGACAGCCGCGCACCCAGGAAGGGTAAGAAACAGTGGGTGGTCGTCTCCTAACGCTCTGCGGGCGCGCTCGCCCGTGTTTCACACCTGTCTGCCGCGCTCTCGGCCAAGGGCCGTGCCCCTGGCTTCCCGCGCGTCGGCTTTCGACCCGCCACGCGAGCCCGTGGGCACGGCTTCCCGCGGGGACAACCGGAGTTGACGGCCATGAGCCGCAGCCCAGGCGGCGTGCATCCTCAGTCCCCAGGCGGCCGTCTGCCGCAACCCTGGTGTGCCGCGACCCCCTGGTGTACTGATATCACAAAGATCGGAGCAGCCATTCGCTGCACTCCGACGAGGCACCACCCCGGCGGCGAGGGATCCGCGCAAGCTCCCGGCCTGCTGCCGTTTCCCTGGACGCTACCCGCGGGGGCCCAGGGTGCGTCGGAGCCTGGTCGCGTGGCCCCCCCTCCTCGCCACGGCAGGACACAGCTCGGCTGTCAGGGCGTGGCTCCCTCGGGGACGCCGGGCCCGTCCGGCCTGGGAGGGACAGACTGTAGTGCGTTGGGCGGCTGTGGTGACGGCCGTGGCCAGTCCTCGGCACAGGAGGGGGGCCGCCTGTGTTGGGATCACAAAAGTTTGAGCAGCCGTTAACTGCACCCCGACGAGGCACCGCACTGGCGGCGAGGGATCCTCGTGAGCTCCCAGCCAGCAGCCGTATCCCTGGATGCAGGATCCGTTGCCCCCTGGCGGGGAGGCCTCTACACTGGTCGTCTCCGGCTCACCACTGTAGATGCCTCGGCCGCCCTGGATGCAGCTGCCCAGAGATGGCGGACGACCCCGTCGCACCCCTGACTGGAGAGGAGTCGGCCCAGCCACCCCTCCCTTCCGGCAGGACGCATGCACGGGGAAGGCTCAGTGCGGGTCCCAGTTTGGCTGCTCCGCCGGCGCCTCGTGGGACCTGTCTGACCCAAGCGGCAGGGCGGCCGCGTGCAAGAACAGGACAGCCCCGTAACGCCGCAGTCGTGCCTTCTGAGGCGCAGAGGCGTTACTGCCATCGGGGGGCTGCCCACTCTCGCTGCGGCAGACACGGCCCCCCTGGACTTCCATCATCCCTGAGCAGCCGTTCGCTGCATCCCTGGAGCCTCGGCGAGTTGACAGGTGTTGTGCGGCCAGCAGTGCAGTCTGGCCGGCGACACCAGAACAATGGGCCCACAGTAGGCAGCGCCTCCCCTGGGGATGCTCTGCCCACTCGTCGCCCTCGCTAGTGCGCTCCCATTTCCACCGTTCCTTGAGCAGCCGTTAGCTGCATCCCTGGAACCACTACCGTTCCGTGAGCAGCCGTTTGCTGCATCCCTGGAGTTAGGGTTTGGGCCTCGGCCCTCCCCCTGTTTCTCCGTCTTCTACCCAACCCTGAGCAGCCGTTAGCTGCATCCCTGGAGTTCGGACCCGGGCTTCGGCCCTCCCTTTGTCCCCCTCCCTCGCCTGGTGTCCCTAGTCCCTGGTGTGCCCCTCCGCGTGGAGGGCCGGTGATGTCTGCCCCCTCCCCTCGGATCGCTCCCTCTTCTACCCAACCCTGAGCAGCCGTTAGCTGCATCCCCCTTGGGCTCGCCGCCGACTGCATTTTGGAACGGAAGGAAGCAGCATAATAATGCTCGTGCAAGTTAGGTGGTCTAAGCACGTGACACGCGGCGGCAACGAGGCCAAGGCGGCGAAACTTCGCCAGACCCGCCCAGTGCACGTGGCGGCCACGAGGCGGCCACGGGCGGCAACGTGGAAAATCCTCGCGGTACCCATCCAATTCTTCGTTGACGCATGCAATGCAAGAGCCCCTAAGTGCAGAATGCGTTTTGGGGGATGAAGGTCGGACCCCGTGTTGAAGGTTTTTGATCCCATGTGCCTTTCTCCCGCTCCAATCCCCTTCCTCTCCCCTCGCGACCCCGGACGGCCCGATGGGGCATGTTCAGGGCTAAGTGCGGGCCCAGAGTGGCTTTCCCAGCACGGGCCGTACCGCCCCTGAGAGGCCCGATGGGGTTACTCGAAGGGGTCCCCCGACGTGGGGGGCGCGGGAACTTAAGTCCTTGGGCACCGGGGCCTCCGCTGCTTGAGGCCGGCGGCCAAGTGGGGGTGGTGCCGGTGGCCGTGTCTCGGGGTGGCATCTCGAGGAACCTCGCAACGGCGGCGCGGATAACGCCGGGGGCGGTCCGTGCCGCCGTTCGTGTTGCGAGGTCCGGCTGCATGTGAATTCATGCAGGCACCTTGGGCACCTCCCTTCGGGTTGTGTCGCCCAGGTGTTCTGTCCGGGCACAAAAAAAACTTTCCCAGCACGGGCCTGCGCGGTTGGATCTGCCACCCTCCCCCCGCCGCGGCCCTCGAAAGCCGCGCAGCGAATGCCACTCTTGCCCAGGGTCACTCTTGCGCGTCGCCGGCATACAGTCGGGGCCCTGAAGAAGGAACCCTTTTCGTTGGGGAGGGGCTCCGCGTTCCTTGAGTGTCTTAGGTTTTCGATAGGAAGTCGAAGTTCAACTTATGGAAAATAGGGGCCTCGTTCCTTATTTAGGGTTCCTTAGGTCAACGCCCCGACTGTAGCCCCTGGCCCCGCCTCAAAAAAGGCCTTGGCAGGGGACTGATTGTGAAGAGCTACGCCTTTCCTTACACTGCGAGGTGGCGGTCGCGCGGGCGACGCGGGATCACGGGGTCGGCCGCGCGGGCGTTCGCGCGCGCGCTGCCCGCGCAAGGTCGCGCGTAAACGCATTCTTGTTCACGTGGTGCGCCGGGCTGGCGGCCTGCGTAAGACATCGCCTCAAGGCCTCCGTGCCCCAGTAGTGCGTGAGACCCGTGCGCCTTCTTCACATCTCGCGAGCAGGGGGCGAGTTTTTCACAGCGCAAGGCAACGATTGCATTGACGTTCGGCCGCGCGGCGTGCCGTTGCACAGCCCGTTCGAGCTGGAGCTGCCTTCGCGCCGACGCGAGGGCACGAATTCGCAGAGCGGGGCGCTTTCCATCCGGACGGCCCGCTGGATTGGCTGAAGCCTCAGATCGGAGGTCGATTGACCTCCAACCCTGACACGTCGATTAGCGAATTGGCTGTTTTCGATTCGCGAGAGGGCATCGTGGCCGTCATTTTGTGGGTCCACGTCCTCGGTTTCGGTCTTAGGCCGTTTTCACTAAAGGGTGGTTTACAAAAGGGAGGTTTGTCCACCGCCGATCAGAGCCACAGCATGTGATGACGTTTCAGGGGAAAGCCAGGGGAGATGCGGGTACCGAGACCGACGCCCTTCCTCCGTTTTCGTTTGTGGTTCAAGGGCACGGGGTACCTCTCCGAAGGAGTAGCCGCAGCAATCCATGCTGAGCGTACCACTTCGTCATACTTGTGTGGAACAAAGTTTTCAATTCTAGACGCTTCGCGTAACCCCACCAGCCCATCCAGAAACGATGCCCAGAGGAAGTGCCTCGATCAGGGAAGTGGGCAGCACACAAAGGAAGGGTACCCCAGTGGAGGCCGGTTGGAGCGTCTTAGGGGCCTCTTGGCGGTCCCGGACGCCTCTTAGAGCGTCTTGGGTGCTTTGGAGAGCTTCTTGGAGCCTCTTGGGGGTCTCTTGGGGGCCTCTTGGAGGCCTCTGGGGCGCTTGTTTGGGCCTCCTGGGGCCTCATGGGCGCCTCGTGGGGCCCTCTTGAAGCGCTCTTGGGAGCCTTCAGAGCGCTCTTGGAGCCCTCTTGGGCCATCTTGGAGTCATCTTGAAGCCTCGGATGGCCATCGGAAGCGAAAAGGCGAGAAAGCCCAAAATGTTGATTTTCCGAAGGTTTTGGAAGGATTTTGGCCTCTTCGGGGCCTCCTGGGGGAGCTCTTTGGCCACTTGGAGCCGTCCTGAAGCGGTCTTGGGGCCTCTTGGAGCATCGTGGGAGCCATCTGGAGGCATCTTGGGATATCTTGAGCCATCTTGGAGGTCATCTTGGGCTCTCCCAGGCGCTCTTGGAGTCATCTGTGTGAAGAGTGCACTCCCCTGCCCCTCTGCCGCCCGTGCCGCCTTGTACGCATGATGCACATGCTTTTCATGTTTGTGGCGTGCACGCTGCCCGCCGCCGTTTTGGCCCTAGTCCTAGGGCCCTGGGACTGCACCCGCAGTTGGACTGCCGCGCGGTCCGAGCTAAAAGAACTGCACTGACATTGGTAGCGGAGCTTGTAAGCTCCAGCGGACGCACTGCGTGCTCTGCTCGGGTGGCTGCGACCACCCGCGCGCGCCGCCATGGCCGGCAGCCAGGACGGCGGCTCGGACGCGGAGGCGATGTCCTCCGCCGGCGCAGGTTCTCCGGACCTGCACGCGGTCCTGCGCGTGATGGCCGAGACCCAGAGGGAGATCCTGGCCATGCAGCGGGATCGCGGCGACAGCGGTCCCAGGCGTGCACGCCTACTGCTGTCACAGGTGAAGCTCCCGGACTTCGACGGTGCCGTCGGTACTAGCACCAAGAAGTACCGAGAGTGGCGCAAGGCTGTGGAGGTCATCCGCAACCTCAACCAGCTCTCCGACGTGGAGCTGGGCCTGATCATCTACAGTCAGGTGACAGGTCGGGCCAAGGAGCTCATCGAGGTACTGGACGCGTCGGACCTCCGGCGTGAGGACACGCTCGAGACCATCTTCGCTATCTACGATGACGCCTTCGAGAAGATGGACCACGAGCGCCTGGATCAGGTGCATCAGGAGTGGGAGCGTGCTCACCGTCGGGCAGGTCAGCCCATCATGGATTGGACAACGTACTTGCGCAAGAAGCGCATGGAGTTGCAGCTCGAGGATCCCACTTCAGCGATCAGTGATCGCGCGCTGGCGAGCAAGATGCTCCGTGGTGCTGGGCTGTCGCAAAGAGAGCGAGCGCAGGTGCTCTTCAATTGCGGCGGCATCTACGACTCGAAGCGGATGGAGGTCGTGCTGAAGGCAGCCTACTCGAAGGTGCACGACACCGAGAAGCGCTCGGTGCTCCCTCGCCGCTCGCCGTTTGTGGCGGCGCAGCGTGAGCACGGGCGCTCCCAGCTGGGAGCTCGGGCGGTCGCTACCCGCACCCTCCCTTGGCTCGTAGGCCGTGCGTGCTTCGAGGACGCTCTGGCCAGAATGAGCACGAGGTGGAGAACGGTGAAGACTACGATGAACACGACGGCGACCTGGAGGAGGCGCAGCACGACGAGGAGGAAGCGGACGACCAGGACGGCGGAGACCCCGGAGGGGCCGAGGGCACCTTCTTCGAGGACGGCGCTGAGGTCGACGAGGAGCTGGCGTCGGACAACGATGGGCCTGACGACGAGGAGTACGAGGCACCGGAGGATCTTCAGGAGGCGTTCTTGGCCGGCTGGAGGGCCAAGCAGAAGACGGCAGCACAGCGTCAGAAGCGCGGGTTCGTTGCTCCTCGGCAGCGGGACCCCAAGAAGATCAACGCCAGCGGCTCCTTCCAGGCTGGTCGCAAGCCGACGGGCCAGCGCAAGGCTAACAGCCGGTGTGCTGACTGTGATCAGCCCGGCCACTGGCGTGGCGACCCGGAGTGCCCCAAGGTGAAGAGTGGCGAGCGTGAGCAGTGCAACGAGACCGGGCCTAAGAGTGGCCAGCCAGCGTCGCCCAACCAGCGGAGCTCTGCGAAGCCGCCGGTTCCGAGGCAGGCGCATGGGCCGGTCATCCACTGGGTTGGAATGGCAGGCAGTGCCGAAGAGCGTCGCGGCCGCGCCCCATGGCGCCGCGCTCCCCAGTCGGTGCCTGCCCAGAGGCATTCGGTATAGGTCCGAGCCGATGCTCCAGGGGGGATCGCCATGAATCTTCGACCCAAGAGTATGCCTGCGCCAAGTCTACGCCGGGACGCCGACGATGGCCCCGGGCCCGGACAGGGCAGTGATGAACGTGCGCGCGCCCTTGCAAGGCGCGGGGGGGATCAGGGGGACGAGGATGCATGCGCGCGTTGCCATCGCATCCTGGCCAACACCCACCCAAAGGGGCACAGCGTGGAGTTGGAGTTTCCTGACCTTGCCACGGTCCATCACATCGCGGAGCGTGTGACGAACAAGAAGCCCATCTTCTTTAAGCAAGGCCGCTTCGAGGCTCTCGACTTCGTCCAGGGTCGGCTCATGCGGCTGCAGCTGACCACGTCGAAGCCTTGCACGGCGGCCGAGGTGGATCTCGATGAGATCACGGCAACTATGTTCAAGATCGTGATGGGCGGAAATCGCGATACCAAGCACCGCGACGATCGGCGCGGTGAAGGCGGGAATCGCGACACCAAGCATCGCGAAGATCATCGTCGAGATCGTCGTGACGACCGCCGCCGCGATCGGGGAGCTGTTCTCTGTGAGCATCGCGCCCCTCCCCCGCCCGAGGCGGGGGCCTCATCGCGTTCGTGGTCGCGGAGTACACCGGAAGGCCGCGGCGAGAAGGAAGAGAAGCGGAGTGCACCGGAAGGCCGCGGTGAGAAGGAAGAGAAGGAAGAGAAGAAAGAGAAGAAGAAGAAGAAGAAGGCGAGGAGCAGCAAAGAAGAAAATAAAGAGAGGAAGAAGGCGAGAAGCAGCAAGGAAGTGAAGAAGGAGGCCGAGGTGAAGAAGGAGGATGAGGCCAGCGAGGAGGATGAGGCCAGCGAGGACGATAACGATCAGCGGCGTGAGGATAAGGAGCTGCCGTTCACGCCAGAGGAGATGGATGAGATCTTCTGCAGCTGGTATCCGCGTCAGGACATCTTTAGGGATCCCAGAGGATCCCTGGATCCCGAAACGGGATCTGCTATGTAAAACATATGTTTTTATTATATCATCATCCATCGGGATCTGAAACATATGCATCAAAGAAAAAGGGATCTAACCTTAAACCACTAGCATATGTACACGCATACATTATACGTAGATTAGCTAGTTCCACCCGTAATAGCCAAACCGAACCTCATTCCTAGGATAAGGTGTGCGTCCATACGTACTGCGCAGACGCTGGATTCCTTTTATCCTTGTTTGCTGGAGGTCTTTTCACACGCCTACGTCTGAAGGTCTTTTCACACGCCTACGTCGGAGTTCTTACGCGCCTATAGGTCGGAATCCTTTCACGGGCCTGCGTCGGCCGTGGGATGTCGATCAGGTTTGCCACCTCAGCCCATCCCGTCCTGCTCGCAGCCGTTTTGGCTCGGGCTCTTGGGAGCTCGTTTTTGTTTACGAAGTTTCTCATATCACCGCCGATTTCTGCGGCGATGGCCCCGCCTCGAGGACCAGACCAGAGGCGCCGCCTCACGGGCAAGACGTCCAGCCCGTTGCGCCCAGCGGCGCCCCCGACGCCCGAGCCCGACGACCCCCTAGCCAGCTGCTTCTTCGACTCGGATGACCCTCGTTCCTCGCGGCACGTGGGCAGGCAGCCTGAATTCACGCTCCGCGAAGGCGCGGGCGACGACGGCACGCAGTGGGACTCGGCCCCCGAACCGACGGAGCAGGCCAAGGCATCGACCGAGGAGCAGGACACAGCGAGGGCCATCCAGGCGTCTCTCGAGGAGGCCGAGCGCACGGGGAGGTACGCCGACTCCCCTCCTGACCCCACTGCCGCCCACTCCTGGGATCGCGGCGGCGATCAGACGATCGAGATCCCCGACAGCCCCGATCATGCATCGGCGGGGGCTGGCGCGGCAGGGGCCACCTCAGCAGGCTCGGGGTCTGGCGCAGCACAGGCCACCTCAGCAGGCTCGGCGGGCGGCGCAGCAAGTTCGGACTGTGCTGCTTGGCGCGTGAGCTCCGACTCGCGCCCCTGCGAGCCCGCCCCCGAGCTCGACTCCAAGACGCCCCCCCCCCGCAGCCGGCGCCAGTTATGAGGACAGCGGGCAGCCGTCGACCATGCCGCCCGACCGCATGCCCAGCCCGCGTGCCTCGCCATTCAGGCCGTCCGCCGAGGGTTTCTTGCTCTTGCCGCCTGGCGTGCCTCCGCAGGCGGCCTCGCAGCCCCCCAACCCCAGGCCCGCTGCCTCTCCAGCCGCAGGGCCGATGGCAGCGAACTCCCAGTCAGCCGTCGACGAGGACGGGTTTGGAAAAGTGCGGCGGGGGAATCGATGCGTTGTTTTGGTGTTTTGTAGTTGCCATGTTTTGTGGAGTCAGATTTGTATAGCATGCTCGGCAGTGCCTGGTCTGAGTCTGGGGGCAGTCGCGCCTGGTCGTGCCTGGTTTTACCTGGTCCAAGTCCTGCCTGGCGGTCCGAGTCAAAGACTTACCTGGTCCAGATTGGTCTTACTTGTTCACCCTCTGCTCCTGCGCGAGCCCCTCGCCCTCCTCGCCCGATCGCCCAGGACCCCGAGACGCCCCAGAAGCATCGGCGCCAGGTGGCGTCCCAGGCGGAGGATCTGTTCAAGGAGCTCAAGGAGCGAGCCCGCGCGGCTGCTTCCTTGTTGAGCGTGTCTTTCTCCTTTC